GCCTGAGGTGGGTAAAACTTTTGTTAAGCATTTTTCAGGGCAGAACATGAGGAAAAGGTTAAGATTTGCTTGATGTCCCATCATGTCAGGGACACTTGTGGGTTCTTTGATGATCTAGGCTAGTTCATAAGTAATGGAGAAGTTTTTGCAATATCTGTCTTCCTCATCAGTAATTAGTGTTTCCCTCAGCTTTCATATCTATGGTGACTTCAATAAACAAACAATGGTGGATATTGAAGTCACCACAGATATGAAAGCTAGCTGAGGGAAATTCAGTAAGGATATTATCAATCCTCTCAGATATTCAATTGAAAATTACTGTCCCATCGTCCTGGAGACAATAGAGAGCAAAAACAAATGTGGTAATGTGGATGAGTGCCATGTGGATGCACATGTATGGGAGATCAGGATCCTTGTTTTTTTTGTTTTTTTTTGCATTCTTTCCACAGGGAAACCCATCCTTAATGTAGGCACCAAGTCCATGTCAATTTAGGTGGTCATCTTTAGCTATTAGGGGTAAGTAGTCCAGAATTGCAAGTTCCTTCAGTAGGATTGAGGCATTGATACCTGTTTCAGACATGAATAGGAGGTTGCGTTTGTACTCACTTCTCTTCACTAAAGTTTTCTCCTTCACTCCCTGTAACCTCCTGCATCTTAGTGACATTATCGCCTTTCTTGAGGTGGGGTGGAAAAACTTTAAAAAAAAAAAAATAAAAATTATGATTGATAATTTGTTTGTGGGGTGCCAGGGTTTATTATGCAAGAAAAATAAGTGCACAAATCAATTATTATTTATAAATAATTCTCAAAGATAGTAGCCATAGAAATATACTTGATTAACATGATATTCCATACACTTGAATAAATTGTTTTTATCTCACTTGTTAATATAGGCTACTTGATATTCCATGATCTTCATTTGTCATTCAGCCATTGATTTTTTTGTTTCAACTTAGAATAGTTTTTACTGCTTCCCAGGGAACTTCTTTACATGATTTTTGTTTTCCATTCTCAAATGTATCTCTTTAATTATAGATCATAAGTTTTTTATTGGACTAATATATGGCCATTCCATCAATTTTTGGTAAAATGAGAAATCCTTAACTCTGTAAAATGAGAAAGCATCTTTTGCTGCTTATAATCCTAACCTAAATCATTATTGCCTTCTCAGTCATAATGGCAGACCATTATCAGGAAGACCCCAACTACTAGCTCAACTCTACATGTATCACTCTAATAAATTACTGTTGAGACATCAGTTTTCACGTACTTCTTCACACAACTTTGTGATGTTTTTTCATGAGTGGTAGTTGTATTTATGTCTTTAGCAAACATTCTTAATATTTTTCATGAGTTCTCTATTTTCAAGTCTTTTTTTTTTTTGCTTGTTCTAATAATGTTCCTATCACTCAATTTTACAATATCTTGTTACTTAAATGAAAACTTGAATAACTTCCTTATTTTTTTTATTCAATTTTCTTCAAACATCTCACAAAGAATTTCATACAAGAAATAAGAGTGTGGTTATAGTCCTGCTCACTTCCCTATATATAATGAAAAACTACAAAAAAACTGTTCAAAAAGCCAGTTTTTCAGCCATAACTCTCTGGTTCTTCATCTGATGCTTTCCAGATTTGCCATGTAAATTACATGAGACACACAAATTGTCTTGCGTGAATGTTTGGTTTAGATTATTTCAGTTAAGTGGACAAATTTGTGACAAACTAGGTCCAAAATTGGCATTTGCCATTTAGCCAATAGTTTCTTCATATGATTCCATCCTAAATTGGCATTCAAATAACCATTGATTGACAAGGATTATTGAAGTGTTAAAAGGGAAAAATTCCTGAAGAACCTCTTATTAACCCCAACTTTGCAGTAAACATGTGAAGAAGGAGGTAGGGAGGGAGTTCATGCATTTGCAGTTGCATGAAGCTCTGATGAAATTTACTGAATATCTAAAACATTGAAACAATTTAATGCTGAGCAAGGTTTTATCAATGAAATTCCTTTATTAGGAACAATCACACTTGCTAAGTACATACTGTAAAAAAGATGAGGTGGAGGGGAAGTAGCTTAGTATACCAACTGATGATGCAGGGACGCAGACAGACATTTCTAGACAGTGAGAGTGCAGTTATACAATTGCAGCCATGTACACCCAAGTAATGCCAGGTTCCTCAGCTAGTTTCTAATAAAAACAGATATGCTGACATTTACATGGTAGTATATTCATCATATAAGAAAGCATCTGCAGAAAAGTTTACCAAGATTATTTGATTACAACTTCTAAAAACATTCATTTCCATCATAAACTTTGCTTATTTTTCTTATACTATATCAATCTTAACTGGACATTTCTTGTTTTTTCTTGTTTAGTCTACAAAAGTTAGCTTGATTCTTTTTTTAATTCATTTTTCTCTAATATGTCAAACAAAAAAAAACAAGAAAACCTTTTGCTATCTTAAATATGATGCCTCATAAGCATTTTCTGCATGACTTTGTTGTCTCCTGTCTAGTTTTATTTTATTGGAAAAAAAGATATTGCAGGAAGGATTATTTATTTTATCTCAACTTTATGCATTGAACTATAAATCTGAATTCTATTTCAACACTATAACCAGTGAGCCCTCACCTAAACAAGATGCCTTTCTCAGTCTGCTACAAATGATTTATACTTATTTTCCAGAAACAGATATGAAACAATGTTCTTGTAATTATGTTCCTTCAATGACAAAAATGTTACTTGCTTATTTCTATTCCAATTCCCCTTTTATAGGCCAAAGGAGTGTGTGCGTTGTCTGTTATGTTATTTATTCAACACACCTGAAAAAAGCATCACGTCCTATTTGTTTGGCAACAGAATCATTCTCTGCCTACTGCATTGGCTTCCTGCTGCTTCCAAATAAATTCCTGGAATTACTGCCAAACAGAAAGTTTAATACAAACAAACCATCATATACAAAGTGGTAATTTCCAATGGGTTTTATCATACATCTAAACTAAATCTCTTATCTCTGTAACTATAAATCTCCAGGGGTTTTATTTTGATGACTTCATCTTTTTTTTTTTTTTTTCTTTTCTTTCTAGCACAGAGCTTTTCATTATCAACTTGTTTTCTGAAATATGTCAACAGAGATTTCTCTACTCTGATACATTTGTATATTGTATGTGTGTGTATTATGAGCATGGGGGATGTGTACTTGCAAGAGACAGCAAAAATATGACAAGATGATGAGTGATTAAAATATTTGAGAGAGGCAATTATGAATGAAGACCTATTATGATATTCCAGATATTCTGCTGAATTATAGAAAGAGACACTTTGTTGGAAATGAATAAATCTTAATCTGCTAAAATTGAATGAAACATGATGTTCACCTTTATTGTGTAATTTTATTGACTGCTTGTCATCACTTTGGGTATGTGTGTGTGTGTCAGAAGATTTTAGATTGGTCAGTAATTGATTTATAAATAGTGGAAAAAAAAAAAAAAAAAAAAGGTTTTGATTTTCAGTTAGTTAATGTTTCAGTTGTGTAACAGATAATAGAATGGAATCTGTAAGCAGTGTTCAAATTTCAGGCTAGTTTGTTTTGCACAAATGCCTTTTTGGAAAAGCATGCATCTTCTACCAGCTATGAGTTAAATAGAAGGGTAGACATTTTAGCTTTGGTTGGCAAATAGCCTAAGAAAAGGAAAACACTGAATTCAAAATCATGAAGAAGGCAATGGAAAACACTTTCACAAGAATGCCTAGTTTTTCACACAAAGAAAAATCTGTTAGACAAAAAACAGATTGGGTTAGGGAGGTCATTTTTTTTTTTTTTTTGCTTTCCTTTAGTTTGTTTTTCTAACAAGTCTAATCAGTGCTTATCATTGTTACATAATAAATATTGGGGTTTATTAAATTATTTTTAAAAAAATTTTTTTAAATAAGCTTTTTTTTTTCCAAGCTCCCGGTATCTTTTGATTATCCTTGCTCTTTGGAAAGATTTTAACAGATGGTTGTTCTGTTTTGCATTTTAAAACAGCATCACTGACAATTGATAAGTGTCCACTACCAGGCTTTAAACCAGTTTTTGTGGGGTTATATTCTGTTTTATTTCCTTCCACTTCCTGAATTCTGCAAGAAACAGCTGCAGCCTCGAGCCCAATTAATACCACCAAATTGCTAGAATATTAATACTTACATATCTGCCATTGTAATACGGAAAACAAAAAGTCTATCTGAATAATATCAATTACAATATATTCATTTTATACAGTTTTGGAGGAAATATGTATGACAAAGTGAAAAAGTTTTCATGTGACAAATTTCATCCCTTAGGACTTCATTGGACTAGGTTTATTTGCATTAATGGTAACTGCACATGAATGAGGGACAATGGGAATTTTTAATTTAGAAAAATCTTTTTTTTTTCTAAATTAATGTAGTAACCATTAACCTGAATTTAATTAATGTAGTAACCATTAACATTGGACCTAGTCCAATGAACTTCTAAAGGACAAAATACATCACGCAAAAACTTTTCCACTTTGTCATGCATCTTTCTTCCATATATATATATATATATATATGTATGTATAATGTGTGTGTGTATATGAGGGTGTGTATAATTATATAAAAGGGAGTGCCAAAAAGAAACCTCTTGTAAAATTCTTTTGGTCAGATTTTGAGTAGTTTTCACATTTCCTTACACCCCATCCTACATATATATCTTGATAAAAGATTACAAAAATTAAGTGCTCAATGCATTTACTAAGTGTAGCTTAGATGTAACACAGGGTCGACAGTATGGATCAAACTCACTACTCAGTTGTATTTGATCTCGCAAGAGAAGCTTGGTCATCATTACACTATGATGAAGTGCCCAAATACATTCATATATAAAGAGCACTAAAATCTTTATATGTGCAAGAAAACAGAGCAGTAAATATTCATTTTTCATTTAACTTATTTTTCAACTCTTTTTTGTTTTTTTTGTTTTTTCAAATTACAGATTTGGGATAAGACTCATAAAATTTGGAATATTGATGCCTTTGCTAAAGAAGTTCATGGAAAAATTTATGAACCAGATGGTAAGTATTATGTATGAATATAAATATAGTCCATGTTATTTAACCTGTTTGATTTATACAAAACCCAAATGAAAACGAAAAAAAAATTTCTATTTATTGAAAATACATTTTTGTTCATTTTGAATCAGGTGTGCTTAACTACCTGAGTGCATTGGTTCTGATAGTGGAATGTGTGATAGAAATCCAAAGGTGCAAAGAACACTTTTCAGAAAGTAAGCAAAGTTTTTTAAAATGATCAAAAATGTTTTCAAATGCAAAGTGCTGGAATGTCAACAATATGAAGTTCCCAAGCTGGAAAGGAAGCTTTTAAGAATTTGACACTCAAAGGGCAAAACTAGAGAAACAGAAGAGATAAAATCTTTTATAATGATATTGTTATATCAACCAAATGAAAAGACAATGAAATAATCTCTCATATTTGACATTATATTCAACTCTTGACATTGTCAATTTTCATTGGACAATTTGTGTGTTTGTTGACCTGACTTGCATCTGAAATATCTCAGAGACTGCTCATCTCCTCTCTAGGGAGATGTTTATTTCTCACACTTGCAACCTGAGGATAGATGTGTTGAACATGTTCACATGTCAGGTAGATCTGCAGCTCGGTCATCTGTTAGGTCAACTCAACATTTGATTGCATACACAGTGTGCAAAGTCTATTTTGAAATGATCCTGGGTGAGACACACATTACAGGAGTTTTATCAAAAGGATTACAGAACAAATGCCACAGTGATGAAGAGGAATAATAAATGAACAAGTATTGCTGGAACAACAAAAGATGGGAAGTTGTGGAGAGCTACGATTGCATACATTCTGAAGGGGGCATGTCATATATATATATATATATATATATATATAAGAGAGAGAGAGTGATTTGAAGTTTCATTATTCAATAATTGTTTTACTGTATAGGTAAGTATATTTGCAGAGATCAAATGTATACCAAGAAAATTAACTTCTTTAGATTGGCTTTGACATCAAAATTAAAACTAATTTGAAAGTGGTAAACTTTCTTGATGTCATAATAATTTTCTGTAAAGGTGTGCACTGCTTATAGAAAAAGAAAATAGTACACCTATTTATAACACATCAAGTCACCTAGCAGCCTTTTTTTCTTTTTTTTGCATGTGATAAATTGTCTACAAATTCTAGCAACAAAGGTGTTTTTAACCATACTGATGCTGAATATGAAATGACAGTAAGGAAAAGTGGTTATGGCTAATTTAGATTTCAAAAGCAGTACAATCAGGACAAAAGAAAAAAAAATACAAAAAATATAGTCATTTGATTCAAGCCAAGATGATAATGTAAAACTGGTAGGATCTGGGGAAGTTCAGGCAGTCTTGGGTTTGTTCAATCCTACTGAATTTTGTTTAGTTAAATCTAGGTTGGATTCTCCTTGGAATTATTTCAAAACATGAATTTTGAATATTTCATTTTTAATTTTCTTTTCAATCCATCTTCCTGCAATTTCAAGAAATTATCCTCTTAGTAGACTCTCTTTCTTTTCCTTCTTTCTCTTTTTATTTGATCAAACTCCAGAGATCCAAGTGTCACATCACTCCCTTTATCCCTTTACTTATAATTGACACCCAAGCTCTACCTTCCTTTTTGGTAAAGCTAAAATTTTTCATACAAAAAAATTTCCACTAAATATGGAATGTGAATTTTTTTTTTTTTTTTTTTTTTTTTTTTGGCATTCACCTGGATATCTGTCTATTTTGGTTTTACATATATATATATAAAAAATACAGTAGTGTCCAAAAGTAAGGAACAAAAATTAAAACTTTGTTATCTTGAAAAAGTCCAATTTTTCTCAAATTTTCACTAAATGTAAACAAATGGCAGTTCTGTTGTGCTTTAAATTTTTATGTTATTTGGAACGATAGAGAGCTATCATTCATTTAATTTTTTACTCAAATATCAAGTGTCCAAAATTAAGGTGGATAGATTAACAAGAGTGCCCCAGAGATGGCTCAATGCTATTAAGAAAGAAGTAGAGCTGATGGGACATGTCTGTGCAACATCAGCAAATGACTGTAACTCAGATCTACTAAAATCAGTGCCTTGTCAAAGCAGACCCTATATTTTGTGAGGCAGATTGATCCCTCCATATCCAAAACTGCCATCAACGTGGTGGTCAGAGAATGCAAGGAGTGCCAGTCCATCGACCCACCACTTGTGCAATGGCTGAAAGGACAACTGAATGTGAGCAAAATGTGGAACCAGGTTGGAATGGGCATCACCCACCACAATGGAAACCACTGTCTAATTCTGATTAACTGTGGTCCTACCCAGTGCACTATTTGGTGATACCTTTGTTGATAGGATTCCACAGGCAAGATTGACCACTTAGGTGCATTATTCTTTCAATGTGGACCTCCAACAGAACTCCTCACTGCCAATAAAACTGCATTCTGCAAAGAACTCTTTAAAGACTTTTTGGATTCATGGGGACTCCACCTCCGATTTCACTATGCATACATCCATCAGAAAATGGCATAATCAAGTGATGCCACCGCAGCATCAAAAGGATTGCTGCCAAGAAGCAGTGTTCTGTAATGGAAGCAGTATATTGGCACAACGTCACCTATAAAGATGATGTGTCACTCTCAGCTGCATCAACCAATATGATTTACCGGTTCAAAGTTCAGCTAAGAGGTATTGACACAATGCACTCAACTGAATGAATAAAAGAACAAATGGCAAACAACATGGGCAACTGTGTGTGGTTAAAAGCCCCCACACAGCTGGTGATCAACTCTGTCCTGAGTGGGACATATCACTGGAGTCAGCAGCTTGCACACTATGCTGATTGATGGAATCCCAAGACACATAAAAAAACTTGCATCCATGTGTAAGGTTCGGACACTTTGACAAGTACCACCAGCAGTGAATGCTCCGGAAGTGAAAGGATAATCACCATTGTACCTCTTCAGAGGACTCCTCAGGAGATGTGTCTTCTGAACATATGATTCAATCCCCTCCAGTAATTGTCCTGCCCAGGAGAAGCTCAAGATTAAAGAGGCCTGCTCCTATGTGTCACCTATGTGACAGTGGGGAGTGTAACAAAAGAGAAAATCACCTACCTCAAAAAAGAGTTCTTGATTTGTGCACTGTCTGCCGAAGGAAAATTAAAGAAAATTGTTAGCAAAAACCTGCCAATTTAAGTATAAGAAGAACTATGCTAATGTCCTCCCTGACTGGTGTGGCCAATCAGAAACATTGCTCTGTGAATAAAAACTGTTGCCTTGATTAACATGAGGTGAATGATTTTTGAGCTTGGTAAGTGAAAGTGCATTTCCTCTGGAAAAGTGGGAGGTTGGATTTTTGACCTCATTCTCAGTATGAATTTGCCTGCTGGATTATTTATGACTGCTTTGTTTTTTTCGGACTTCTTGAACACAGATTTGTGATTGAACTTATTCTTGGCACACAAGTTTTTTTTTTTTTTTTTTTTTATTTTTTTTTATTTAAATATAAGAGCTGCTTCACTGGCTATTTAGTCAATTATTGCACAATTTGTCTTCTGGTCAAAGAGGTCCTCATTTCCACCAAAATCATTTGTGTCACTGAGGTGGAGGTAGCATCCTATCTAGTCATGGCAGACCCCTTCATTTTTGCAATCTTTCTGGGCATCAGCATAGATTACTTTTCCAGCCTGCCACATGTAGTCTTTGAGATCCTACCAGCTCATTTTGGAGGGTAAGTTTTCCACAATGAATTTTCAATGCATTTCATTTTTAACTCGTAATAATAATATTTCAAATATTTATAATAAACTAAACTCACCAGATGATACTTTTTAACATGTTGACTGCCAGATATTAATTATGAAATCTGAAAGTCAACTTTATAATAACCAACATAGGCAATAGAAACTTTTATAAACTTATTTTCTAGCCTTGACTGAATTCTTAACATTTTTTTCACCCTAAAAGTATCAGTGTGTGAGTAAACTCATTGTTGGGACCTGTAGATAAAAATGTTCAGAAAATGCTAAACTTGAGAACTCTTTATTTACACTATTTACATTGTTTGGACTGATGTCCTCGTCTTTTTTGTCACATTCGCATTTCAACCATTGTACACTCCAGCCTTCTTCAGGTGATTAGAATTTTGGTAACACGAGCCATAACATGAGAGATAAAGTTGAAATAATAGATAACATCACTGGAAAAAATAAAAACTTAAGAAATCAGTGCATATGCTAGGCCACAAAATAAGTAAATAGAGTAAATAATACCTCATCTCAGAACTATAGACAGAAAATAAGAACTCATAGTCAATGTCATAATAAAAACTGCCAACCACAAGTTACCAGAAAGATACTGAGAATACCATAGACAGAATGTGTGACCAACAAGGAAGTTTTAATGAAAATGGAAACAAAAAAGGACAATTATACATATTGGAAAGGGACTGGAAATTTCTGGGATACATAGAAGAAGGCTTAGAGAATTTGACACTCACAGGAGATATCTATCTCCTGTGAGAACCTACTTAAGTTTATGTAATGTGAATGTGGGATCAAGGAGTGGGAAGTATAGTAAAAATAAGCAAACATTGCTAAAAGCTACAAAGGATAGGAAGTTGTGGAGAGCTATAATCACCTACCTAAGAAACTTCTGTACATGTATGTCAAATCGGAGTGGGAAGGATAGTTTAAAAAAAAACATTACTAAAAGGTATAAAATTTGAGAAGTTGTGAACAGCCATGTCATATAGAAGAGTAATTTTACTTTGATAAGAAATATATTGGTTGTCCATCCAGGTCTTATATATTATTTTTTGTAGATCTTTGTTTTTCCTGTTTATATTGACATTTTCTTCAGCAGGGATCCTAATTTCAGCAATATGATTTTTTTTTTCTTTTAAGTAACAAGATGAGACTTCTGAATTGTTAATTTAATCTCAGTTGGAAAGTCAAGATTATGTTGCAATACAGCAGTTCTCCTTGCAGCTATCAAACATATTTGACTTTTCTCTTTTTATA